TTATGCTTCTTCTTATTACCATGTGTCTTCGCATTATTCTTAGAATTATTCTTATTATTTCTATTCTTAGTATTATTATTCTTCGTATTGCTATTCTTCTTATTCTTATTCTTACGATTCATAATATTCTTCTTAGTAGTACTCTTATTGTTCGTCCTCCTCCTCTCCTCCTCCTCCTCATCCTCTCCCTCCTCCTTTCCCTCCTCTTCCGCCTCCTCCTCTTCGTATCCGTCTGCGTCTTGGTATTATGATTAGCGGCATTCTTCTGATTATTCGTATTTTTCTTCTTCGTTTGTTACTATTCTTATGATTCGTATTATTATGCGCCATCGTATTATTATCATTAGTATCATTATGAGTAGCATGATGAATATGTGTATTATGATATTTTTTATTTATTACTAGTATTAATAATATTGCGAATATTATTATTAGTATTATTAGTATTATTAGTACTACTCTTATTCGTATTAGTATGGTTAATAATATGATGATGTTTAGTATGAATAGTATTATGGATATTACTATTAGTAGTATTATGGTTAGTATTCTAAGTACTAGTGTAATTAGTAATATTATGCTGATGCGTATTATGAGTTTGTGTATTATGATTGTTGTCCGTATTCGTATTATCATTCTCATTCTTATTATCAACATTAGTCTGCGCATCTTGAGTATTATTTGTTATTACTACTACTATTACTGTTATCATTATAGTATAAGACGTCTCAGTAGTATGTGTCTCATGATTGCCATTATTCGTATTATTAGTTGTATTCGTTTTTACGTGTTTCTGATGATTCGTCTTATTCTTGTTATTCGTATTAGTAATATTCTTCCTTTTCTTATTATTATGTTTCTTATTCTTCTCTTCGAAGCGTATCCTCCAATTCCGCCTCTTCTCCTCCGCCTCCTCTGCCTCCTCCACCTCCTCCGCCTTCCTCCGCCTCCTTCCTCCGCCTCCTCTCTCCTCCTCCTCCTCCTCCCCGCCTCCTCGCCTCCTCGTCCTTTCCCTCCTCCTCCTCCTCCTCCTCCTCCTCCTCCTCTCTCCTCGCCTCCTCCTCCTCCTCCTTTTCCTCCCCCTCCTCCTCTCCTCCTCCTCCTCCTCCTCCTCCTCCTCCTTCTCCCTCCTCCTCTCTCCTCCTCCTCCTCCTCCTCCTCCTTTTCCTCCCCCTCCTCTCCTCCTCTCCTCCCTCTCCTCCTTCTCCTCCTCTCCTCCTCCTCCTCCGCCCTCATTCCCCCTGCCTCCTCCCACCCACCCCCCACCCCTCCATCCTCGCACATCCCCCCTTCCCACGTCTCGCCCCCTCCCGCCTCGCGAAGTCCCCGGGGCGAGAGGATGTGGGAAGAGAGCGCCCTCTCGGCCGCCAGCAGCCCGTTCCGGCGCGCCTCCTCGGCCAGCCTGCGCGCGCGCCGAGGCCGCGGCGAGGGCGGAGGCATCGAGGCGGGAGCGAGGCTCGAGGGCACGGCCAGGCCAAGGCTCGACTGCGCGACCGCCCGCCCGAGGTCGGCTCACGCAGCTGGTTCTCCTGGCGCCTCCTGGCGCTGGGAGGCGCCCAAGCATCGAGGCATGGGCCATGCGGCGGGACGGGAACCAGCTGCGCGCAGCAGATTTCGCAACGCCCCTGTTCCCTACGGTCAGACCCAGGACAGAAGAACACTCTTCAAGAACACGAGACCCTCCACCTGCCAGAACTGAAAGCACTTCGATGGTATACCCTCCCCCAGGATGCACAAGAACATCCAACAATCACCAAGAGCATGTTCCCCCTGGAAGGCATTCTGCTATCTGCGCAGGCCTGAGTGCGCCCACTGGGCGGCGCTAGTGCCCTCTCAGCCTCCCGAAGGGCACCCTGGCACTCGCCACTTACGCTTGCCCACGTGGGCGCGAGGCAGGAGAACGAGCGCAACACCGCCGCGCTGCTGCGACGGCGCGCGGCGCGCAGCTGGACGCCTACAAGCGCCGCGCAACTAAATGTAAATCGCTGGCGGGTTTGCCATTTCAGCCGAAACAAAGCAAGACGGAGAAACAGGCGGGCTCGGGGCAGCCCCGGCACCGCCGACAGAGCGAGGGAAGAGGTGGACGATTCCTCCTCCGCGCATTCCTCACGTGGGCGGCCCCGAGGCCTTCAGGCCCTTCCCTCCCTCCCTCCCTCTCTCTCTCTCCCTCCCTCCGTCCTCCTGCGTTACATCTCAATCTTCTTGACCGAACTACTGCCCCTTCCTCGACTCGCTGCTCCCGCGGCGCCTCCCTCCCGCCCGCGGGCTGCCCCTCCGCGATGCCGGCGATGCATCGGCGACGCCTGCATGGAGAATATCGGCTCCACATCGAGCCGCATGGCGGGTGCACCGGTGATGCGGTGCGATCCTCAGACCTAATCTAATCGGACCCCATCTGGAAGGCCTGGAGAAGCTGGCGTCGTGATGTTTTCGCACAGCATGGACTCCCAGAGGTCTGGACCCCTTCCCCTGGGCTGGTGTTTCATCCTGGATCCGATTTGGACGGTCCCCCGGGCCCTCCGAGAGCCCCCAAAGGCAGAAAAGAGCCCCTCCACTTCCCCCATGCCCCCCCCTTAAAAAAATAGCCGTCAGGACGTCAGAAGGACAAGGGGGGGGGAAGAGGAGAAAGGGGAGAAGGAGGAGGAGAAGGAGGAGGAGGAGGAGAATGGAGGAGAAGGTGGGAGGAGGAGGGTGGAGGATGAGGAGGAGGAGCAGGAGGAGGAGGAGGACGAGGCGGCAGTAGCGGGATAAGGAGGAGGAGGGAGGAGGAGGAGGAGGAGGAGGAGGAGGAGGAGGAGGAGGAGAAGGAGGACCAGTGTAAATCCAAGAGTCCCAAAAGACATTGCAATAAAAACTCCCTCCAAGTTCCCTCCTCTTCGCAGGCCCCTAGAAGTGCTCATTTTCACTGAGGGGAGTGCCCCATTGGAAAACAACCGTTTGAAAACCCGGAACTGCGCTAGAACACCATTCCTGTGATTTCAACACCTCGAAACACCGTTACTGCTGCGTCTTGACGATCTGGAACCGCAGCAGAACATAATTCCTGGGACGTCATCAACGTAACAGCTGCGCCCTGATAATCAGGCATCGTGGCAAAATACCGTTTCTGGTGCGTTCACAATGAAAATCCTTGAAAATGCTGTAAAAGGTTAAAACGACTGTGCGCGGCGCTGAAGCGAGACCCACATGTTGAAAAGGAGCCGCCCTGCATCCGCGAGACACTTGCAGATGTTGAAGACGAGTGTGCGCGACGCTACGGTGAGAGCCACACTTAAAAGAAAGGAGCCGCCCTCCATCGGTGAAGCTCTTGCAGATGTTTAGATCGAATGTGCACGACGCTAAGGCGGGAGCCACATTTTGAAAGCGGCCCACCCTCCGCCCATGAGGCCCTTGCAACTTCTGAGCTTCCAGGTCATACGTGGTGAGGAAATCTCCCGCGAAAAGCCCGGCCCGCCCTACCCACACGCCTCGGGGTGCGACAAGGAGGAGTTGCTCATAAGGAAAAGGAATGGAAGAGGAGGAGGAGGAGGAGGAGGAGAAAGAGTAGGAAGAGGAGGAGGAGGAGGAGGAGGAGGAGGAGGGAGGAGGAGGGAGTCGGAAGAAGGGAGGAGGGAGCGAGGGAGGGAGCGAGGGAGGGAGGAGGAGGAGGAGGGCGGGACCGCTCGCGGAAAAGCGCTCTGGCCCAGGGCGCCCGCTGGCGGCGGCGATCCAGAGGCGAAGCGCAGGAGCACGCCCGACCCCGCAGCCCCACCCGTCGGGGGAGGCCAACTTCTGGGGCGTCCGAGACAGGGGGCGTCCAAGAGGTGGGATCGCAGATCATGGCCCGAGGCACGTGCGCGGCCCCAGCCACGATGTCCACACACCCCTGGTCACTGCGACTGTCCAAAAACGACTCAGGATGAAACACCAACCCTGGGGACCCGACCATACTGGGGCTCCATGTGGGGCTCTATGTGGGGCCACGAAAAATGTGAGAGGTGCGCCGAAGTGGTCGGGCGGACGCTTGCGAACCCTTTGACCCATTAACACGAAGCGTATGAGGGGTGTGCCGAAATGCGCGGGGAAACGCATGCGGACCCTGCCACTGAGCCTTGGGTTGAACACCCGATGGGGCCACGAAACGTAAGGAGTGTGCCGAAATGGGAGGGGGGACGCATGCGGTCTCTGCCACTGGGTTCAGTGGAGCTTTGTCCGGGGTCACGTAACGCGTAAGGGGTGTGCCGAAGCAGAGACATGCGGAGAGCAGAGGCAGGCATGAGAGGAGGGAGCAGGAGAGGAGAGGAGGAGACGCGGGGCGCTGCTGATTCAAAACCAGGACCCAACGCAATAGAAAGTTGGGCGTGAAGTATCGGATGTCTGGGTACGCCCTCTGACTCCAGATTTCGGCCGACGTCCCGCTGGTCTCCGCCCTGGGCCTGCACTGGGCCAAGGATTGGTGCATACCCCGAGATCCTGGCGTCGCATGTTTTCACACTGGGCGGTTTCGCCCGATTTCGGGCGCCCTCGCAGATCGATCGGGCTCGAGGGGTGCCGCAGAAAGTTGGGTCCTGTGGCTCCGGGTGTGACGTTTCAAGGCCTTGCCATCATTTCGAGACGTCGGATCTCAGGGTACACCCTGCTGGCCTGCCCGGGGGAGGCACATGCCGCCGCGCCGTTTGTTCTCAACACGCAGTGGACGACGTCGACACCGCGGCAAACCCACGGCAAACCCGGCGTCCCGCGCCCCCGTAGACGACGCCGCCACCGCGACAAACCCACAGCAAGCCCACCGCGCCCTAGGCGGCGTTTGCCCTGTTGGCCGAGGCGCCCGTCCGAAGACATAAAGCCGCGCGTCGGAACAAACGGCGTGGCGACACATGGGCGATTCGGGAAACTCCGAATCCAGAAGACGTGGCCACCTCTTGGGGGCGCATGTTCTGCTTCCGACGGCCTCTGCTGGCCCTCCGCCAGCTTCCGCTGGCGGAGGTAGCCTCGCTCGACTTCCGTCGCCCTCCGTCGAGGAAGAGGTGCCAGCTCCTTCGACTCTCGAGGGCGAGGACCTCTCTGGAACGCCTCGCAGATGCACCGATCATGGGCCCAGGATCGGCCTGGGCAGCGTCGGTGTGAGTGCACACACAGGCCTCCGGCGTCGTGGCTTCTCACGGCCGGGACCCCCGACGATCTCCACCCGTTCGTCAGGACCGACTTCTCACATCGAGCCAGTTTTGTTGATGGGCCAATATCTGGTTACTTAGGGTCCACAGGAGGCTGGAGGAGCCAAAACCTCTCCGTCGCGAGGTTCGGCAGCACGCGAGGAGGTCTTGGACGCTGGCGCCCCCCGCCACATCACAGGCTAGCTGTGGAGGAGAGCCCGGACCTCCTCGTCGTAGTACTCCGCCAGCTCTCTCGAGGAGCCCTCGCCCAGCAGGCCCCGGTCGGACGAGACCGAGAACGACACCCTGCCGCAGGTGCTGCCGCAGGCGACCCCGATGGAGACCTCGCGAGCCACGAAGATGTCCATATCCCGGCCATGGCGGTCTGGACACCGAGGCGCGGGCTGGTGGGCATGCGATCTCATGGATGCGCCACGCGCGGGGCGCCCGCGCAGGTCCGCCCCGTGTCCCTGGGGGGGCGCGGCCGAGGAGTCCAGGCCACAGGGCCATGCAAATATGGGCACCGTTCCTGCTCGCGCAGACCCCGGGGGGCGGAGGGACAAAGCCAACAAACTTCAGCACCGCGTGGCCCTTGAGGTGTATCGTCTCGTCGAAGCCCCGGACATTCGTAAAAACGCACTCCACACGAGAGGTAATCTTGTCCATCAGCCGCCTCGATACCCACTCGGGAAGGGAAGACGTGAGCTTGGCGACGAGGTTACCCAGGGAGGCTTCGGGGGACCTCTTGACCTTGTTCATGGCGGCCGCCGTTTGCTTCAAGCGCGCATCCCTGTCAGCCTCCCCAACGGGCAGGTCGATCATGAACGCCCCGATCTTGTTGCCCATGGGCGTGTCTTCGAGGCTGGTCCGCAGGTTTACTGGCAGGGAGCAGCAGACGGTCTCCCCTGGCGGGACTCCGTCTGGTCCGCACCTGTCCACCATCCAACGCCTCAAGCCGCCGACAAAAGCGGCCAACATGATATCGTTCATGGTGAAGTTCCCTCGGTCCTTGCCCGCGGCCTTGACCACGTTGAGGTCGTACTCCTCGCGGCCAGTGGCCAGGGATTTCTCGCGGCCCAGGGCCCCCTTCAGGAGGGAGCTCGTGGCCCTCCCACCACAGAGCACCCGCACGATCTTGAAGACCACTGGGACGACCCCGCAGATAAGCCACAATAGGTACGCCACAGAGGACCCGAAAGCAGCCAGGAGCTTCAGGAAGGAAAAAGCCTCAGCCCGAGCCTTGCTCCTACTGCGCACCTCGTCGCTGAGGCCGTGGATGAGCATGGCAAACGAGTGGCCGTCGCCCAAGCAGTGGTGAAAGCGGAAGTGCAGCATGGTGTTGCCTCCCTTGTAATTGTGGGCCACGTTGCACTCCCATGGAGGGAGGTCTTCCTCTCCGTGGTTCAGCGGGCCCAAACCGTGCAGGCCGACGTAATCCTCCATCCACTGCTCGTGGAGCTTGTGCTCCGCGCAGACCGTGAACTCTGAAACCACTGCGCTGGCGTCAAAGTCTGGAATCTCGACGTAACAGCTCGTCTTATCGACTCTGCTGGACATGCGCGAGTACCTCGTGAAACCGAAATCTGGATCCGCGATGAGGCTCTGAACATCATCGAGGGGGAGCTCCCCCTCGACCTCCACCAGCACGTTCACAATGGACGGATTTTCCCCGGTCTCGGTGCTCCTGGCAGTGAGTCCAATTGCCGTCATGCGATTCCTCTGCAACATCGGCGCCATTCTGCGTTCTAGGTTGGAGACGGCCAGGGAGTCTGAGCTGCAGAAGCCCAAAGGAAATCGGTCTAGAGGCGGGAAGTTGGCAAATTCGCTCTCAAAGTGGGTCCCCAGACCCCTCCCAGGGTCGAACTATAACCAGCTGCCCGAGCCGCGTTCAGTCGTGGCGGAGAGGGCCCCTTTCCCCCCCTCTCCTGCTGGTCGGAGCCAATGCTGTTGGGGACGCACTGGCCCGTCTTCAATGCCAAACCTGGATCAGTCAGGCTTGGCAGGACCCTGCAAGATCCTGCGGTGGCAGGATCCTGCAGGATCCTGCAGGATCCAGCGCTCTGACTGACCCCCGTTTGCATTGACCACCGTCTCATTGGGAAGGACCAAGCGTACCCCAGGCGAGCCCAGAATCGAATCGATAAGTCGGATCGGCGATCGAAATTCATCGGATCGGCGGAAATCGGCACCGAGTCGAGAAAAGACGAATCGGCGGAGATCGGCAGGCTATTAGGCCTCCAATGAGACATCGGAGCCCAAATCGAAATGCCAAGTCGCATCGAATCGAAATCGGAATCCATCGAAATCGAATCGAATCGAATCAGAGGAATCGAAACGAACCCTGGCGTACCCCAAGGATGAGGTGCCCCCAGTCAGGTGTCGCAGCGGCCACGGGTCCAGCCACGGGTGAGCGCTAAAACGCAGCCGTCAGGCGCCCCGAAGCAGGCCCTGAGGCCCCCTCTCCAGGGTACGACTCTTCTGGGGTCCGTTTCCCAAACATGCGACGCCCTGACTTTTTCAATGCAGTGGAAGCCAGTCCACAAGAAACCTTCCACAAGAAACCCAACCCTGAGACCCCAGGACGTCCATCCATTCTTGGTGTGGGAACGGCACGCTTTCCATCGCAAAACCATCGAAACCCAAGAAACCCAGGGCACCCTGGAGGCAAGCCAGGTGTTTCTTGGCATGGGCCCCCACTGCACAGCGTCCCCAGAAGCCCCGACCCATTCCCCAGGACCGGCTCTTCATCCTGAGATGTTCTTTGACGATCCCGGGGCCCAGAGCTGGAAGTCGCCAAAAACCTCCCGTCCTGATGCTTCTGGGCTGGCCTCCCCAGAGTCTCGAGGCCCCCGACCAATGCTGGACCACCTCGGCCCCCCTCGGCCGGCTCCGAGTCTCGGGTATGTCCCCCCGGGACACCTCCGGCGCCCTGCGCCGCGCGCCTGCGCGCTCCGGGGGCCCCCCGGGGCTCGTCCTGGAGTCGGCCCGCCACCCTCGCCGCGGGCTGGCCGCCGCGGGCCCCGAGGCAGGGGAGCCCAGAATCGAATCGATAAGTCGGATCGGCGATCGAAATAAGTCGGATCGGCAAAAATCGGCAGCCGAGTCGGGAAAAGTCGAATCGGCGGAAATCTGCAGGCTAGTACGCGTCCAATAAGAAATCGGAGCCCAAATCGGAATCCGAAATCGACTCAAATCGGAATCGGAATCCATCGGAGTCGAATCGAATCGAATCGGAGGATTCGAAACGAGCCCTGCCGAGGCCCCGCGGCTGCCCCCCAGAGGTGAGGGGCAACGAGAGGGAGACTCTGCCCACCAGAACGCCCCAACCTGAGACCCGAAGGCCCAAAACGTCGGGGGGGGGGGGGGGCACGGGTTCCACGCGTGTGTTTGTTCGGCGTTCCCCGACGCGCCCCCCCCCCGCACACTGGAATGGAAAGCAGGTTGAGGCCCTCGGGTTGGGTTGGGGTGGTTCGGTGGGGCCTCCAGGGGCGCAACCAGGCACGCCAACACGACGCGCGCCTCCTTCCTCCCGTCGGGGGTCCGCCCTCGTGCGCTCGGGAAGGGAGAACGCCCCGAGCCAAGACGACTACAGAAGGAGGAAGGAGGAGGAGGAGGAAGGAGGAGGAGGAGGAGGAGAAGGGGGAGGCGGAGGGGAAGAGGGAAGAGGAGGAGGAGGAGGAGGAGGAGAGGAGGAGGAGGAGGAGGAGAAGGAGGAGTAGGGGGGGGTGATGAGGGAGGAAGGATGGGGGGGAGGCCGAGGGGAGGAGGAGGAGGAGGAAGGAGGAGGAGGAGGCGGAGGAGGAGGAGAGGAGGAGGGAGGACGAGGAGGAGGAGGAGGAGGAGGAGAGGAGAGGAGGAGGAGAAGGAGGAGGAGGAGGCAGGAGGGGGAGGAGGAGGAGGAGGAGGAGGAGTGAGGAGGAGGAGGAGGAGGAGGAGGAGGAGGAGGCGGAGGAGGAGGAGGAGGAGAGGAGGAGGTAGGAGGAGGCGGCATGAGGAGGAGGAGGGGGGGAGAGGAGGAGGGGGGGAGGAGGAGTAGGAGGAGGGGAGGAGGAGGAGGAGGAGCGGAGGAGGAGGAGAGGAGGAAGGAGGAAGGAGGAGGAGGAGGATGAGGAAAAGGGGGGGGGGGGAGGGGGAAGGGGGGGAGGAGGAGGAGGAGGAGGAGCGAGCAGGCGGAGGAGGAGGAGGGAGAGGAGGAGGAGGAGGGGGAGGAGGAGGAGGAGGAGGAGGAGGAGGGAGGCAGGAGGAGGAGGAGGAGGAGGAGGAGGAGGAGGGGGAGGAGGAGGAGGAGGAGGAGGAGGAGGAGGAGGAGGAGGAGGAGGAGGAGGAGGGAGCAGGAGGAGGAGGAGGAGACGGAGGAGAGTCTAGCTTTCTTCGCGACGATCCCCTCTGGCTGGGGGACCACGTGACGTTGCCACATGTGATGAGGCCCAGTGGACCACCTAGCTGGTGGGTGCACGTCGTGCACGTGCGTGGCACACGCTTTTGGAAGAGAATGCGCAGGCAGGCAGAGCGTGCAGCACAGACACACGCGCTTGAAGACTCGCGTCGGCGCGAATGACATGATGCGTTGTGTGACACAGCGTTGAGCACCAGCGTTGATTGCCTCCCCCTTCCTTGTGCCTCTCCCCCCCGTGCTTGTATTCCCCTGCATGCTTGGCTAACCTGCTTGCCGCTGTTCCTTTGTCATCCGTCGAGCAGGTCAAGCGGGAAAAGGAGCTCGACACAGAGGTTTCGCAAATTGTAAGGAGGCACGGTTAGTATGAGGAGAAGGCCACTGCCACGCCCGTTTGTTGTCCAGGTCCTGGCTTGTTGGGTGCCGCGGTGTCGTTCGGTCTGCCTGGTGCCGTGGGCCGTGTTGGTTGTCGCCCTGTGCCTGCGGTGGCGAACGTGGCCGCTCCCGCTCTCGTGTCTCGAGCTGCGCCCGTGCACGCAGCTGTCACGTATTTTGCGCATGCACATTCTTGCAAGCGCGTACTGCACGATGTACGATGGTGGTATGAGAAGCTGTACACGACGAGAGAGCTAGCAATGTGTGTCCTCACGATCGGTCCCGATCAAATACTGACCGAGAAGCAGCGCGATCACATGATCCCGCCAGCCCTCTGGGCGACAGGTGGTCCAACTATGTCGTTCCTTCCTTTTACACAACCCCTTCTTCCTCTTCGGGGAGGGATTAATCACTGTTCCTCATTAGTATACACCCCCTCCCCCACCCGGCCAGCGGCCAACCCGGAACAATGCCGACTCCATGCGGGCCCGCCCCCCCATCCCTGTCAAAAAACAATGCAAGCCGCACTCTGCCTCCACATTTGGAGCATGCGCGGCCGTCCCGATGCGCCCCCCATGCGCGGCCATCCCGCGATCACTGTCAAGTGGTTTTTGACAGGGACGGCGGGGGTGGTGGCACGTGGCCTGCTGTGCGCAGACCCACCAGACACGGCATTGGTTTTCGACAAGGATGGCGGGGGCCGACATGTTTCCCGATGTGTGCTGTCACGTGTGCAGGCGCACCTGACGCACTCTGCACGCGCCCCGAACGTGGCGCACCTGGCGCGGCCGGAGTGTGCGGCACACCTGGCGCACTCGGAGCACGTGGCGCATCTGGCGCACCAGGCGTGCCTGGCACGCTCGGGCCTCAGGGGTGCCTGGCGCGCGTGGCGCCCCTGGCACGCGTGGCGCACCTTGCCCAAGCGTCGCGCACCTGGAGTCGGCGTTGGTTCCCAGTAGCTGCCCATCCAAACACGACCGCTGAACATGCTCAGGCTCGGATGTTACCTATGTGTTGGGAGGGCGGGTGGGAGTAAGCTAGACGGCTTGCAGGCGGGAGGGTAGCTTGACCCCTCCCCCTACCCCCTCCCCTGGACCTGGACGGGGGTGGTCGCGGGTCGTTAGAGCGTCCAAGATGGTCCAAGATGATAGCTCCAAGAGGGCCGCAAAGAGCCCAAGATGGCCTCCAAGATCGCTCAAGATAGCCCACCATGGCTCAGGATAGCTAAAAACATGCCTCCAAGAGGCCCGAATGGAGGCCACAAGACGGATCCAACTGCTTTTGGAGACCCCTCAGGACCTCCCCGCGAAGCCAAAGATTTCAAACACCTACGGAAAACCAACGATGTTGGCCTTCTCGCCTTTTCGCTTCCGATGCGCTGCTGAGGCCTCAAGATGGCCCCAAGATGGCCCAAGAGAACTCCAAGAAGGGCCCAAGAGGCCCCCAAGACGGCCCCAAGAGCGCCCAAGAACGCCCCCAGAGAGCCCCAAGAGCGCCCCAAGAGGCTATGTTGATGGCCACGGAGGGGGGTGTGAATTTAGGGCCCCGCGCATTTGATCAATGGCCTCCAAGATGACCCCAAGAGGTCCTCCGAAGCTCCCAGGCGAGCCCCAAGAGAGCCACAAGAAGGCCCCAAGAGGGGCCCGAAGAGGGCCCCAAGACGTCCCCAAAGAGCCCCAAGAGGACCTCAAGAACCCCCAAAGAGCCCAAAAAGGGCTGCAAGATGCCCCAGAAGAGCCCCAAGAGGACCCCAAGACGCCCCTACGATGCTCCAAGATAGCCCCAAACATGGCTCAACGCGTTCCTCCCCTTCTGTTTCGCTATCTGCGTCTCTGCTTCCCATTTCCCGTCAGCTCTCGTTGGCAGGCCTTCTGAATGGGCTGGCGGGGATTCGCAAAGCTTAACCTATTCAGCTGACCTTGTCCAGACGCGTGCTCAGAGTGTTGGCGGCCCCGAGGGTTGAGACGCGGTGTGAGGGTTCCGATGATCTTGCCAAGACGTTTCGCTCAACTACGCACCCTTGGGGCTTTCCTGACCTCTCACCCGCCGAGTGGGCCAAAGTCCACGAAGATAACTGTGCGCTTCGAGTTGCTGTGACTTTGAGCGTCGCCACCCAAGCAGCGGACGTTCCTTGGATGCTTTGGCACGCTCGGCCTGACCCATCCCCGCACCATCCCTCCCCCTGGTCGCTACCTGAGCTCGAATGGGTCACTAGTCTCGGCACGTTTTGTGACGTCAATGTCGTGCGTGTGGATCCCGTATCGCACGTTTGAGAGCTCTACGCAGTGGTTTGCACAGTGCTCGTGACAACATACCAGCTGAGCTTGACTGCCTGGGCGGCTCCCAG